CAGATGCTATCCAAGTAGAAAAAATCTATTTTATAGAAAATATTTTTTCCAAAAAACATACTTTTTTAGACAAGGTTTTTTCCAGGGATCCAAACAACCCCTAAGAAATTTAAGTTTCTAGATATTTGAAAGCCCTTATATATCCAAACTAGTCTAGAGGAACAAAAACATTTCGACCAATTCAAAGAGAGATCTATCAGACTGAGGCCCTAAACGATTTAAGCAGGTCATACATTCAAATAGTATCCAAATATATTGTTTTAGCACTGAAAATCTTTGTGATGGCTTTATGATTTATTTTAATATTTAATTATAAAATTTAAAGCTTCAAAAATAGCGTAAATCGAGCAGATCTATGAACACTTGAAAATTTTAAAAATTAACAGTCAAAAAAATGTACTACAATATGCACTATTTTTAAGACTTGCATATGTCCATACACCTTTAGGTCGGGATGATCAATTTGAGGATTTTTGGGCGTCGAAGCAACATCTTTTAGTGAATTTTTGATGTCCACCTTAATTTGATCGTTTAGGGCATCACCCTTATATAAACATTTTGCTATTAAGAAATTACTAAATTATTGCCATAAATTTCAATATGCTCTTATTTTTTAGAAATAAGGAAGATAATATTAGTAAATTTAATAGTAGTCATTATTTTTGAGAAATAAGGAAGATAATATCAGCAAATTTAATTGGAAATTTAAAAGATTTTTCTTTTAAGTTTCTTAGAATTAAAGAATAGTTTCACATATTTTCTATTTTATGCTCGTCTCAGTTATTCATTTTTTTTTTTTCCCACATTACTCTTAGACCAGTTCCCAACTCGGACATCTAATATCTATATGTGTGTCTCTCTATTTTAGTAAAAGATAAGTTCAAACATTAGATGTCTAGACAAGTATTTCACTCAAAATTTTGACAAGTGGTTGAGTTCCAACATATATCGTCAAATTCTGTCCACTTATCTTATTTTACTTTAACGAGTGATTGGTTTTGACTTCCAATATCTAAATTAGGGGTTCTGTTCTTGAGGAGGCAAGTTCGGGTTTCCAATTTTCAAACCAGCCTCCTACCGTTTTAACAGGTATGGAAATATGATGCCAACCCATCTCCCATTGGAATGGGTTGGGGCATTGGATATCCAAACCCACCCATATAACAAATTTTTTGCCTAAGGGTCCAAAAGATTATAGATTCCGATAGGAGCACTCTGTAGATTTAGTCCTCGATTAAAAGCTAATTTAGCAAAGATTTTTTGAACCCAAAGTTTGCCAAATATGACCACTTCAAACTCGCAAATAACCCCGAAAGAAAAGAAAAAAAAGAAAGAAAGTAGAAACACATGTGTATGTGACTGAAAAAATAATGCCCGAATAATGAACAAGAACAATCAAATTTTAGTGGGTAATATCGAAGTGTGGAAACTCAAACTCCACCCTTTTTTCTTTCTCAAAATAACCATTCAATTATTCTTGGGTGGATCGCAAAAATTTGATATCAAATAAAGCCTTTTGCTTGAGGAAGTAAAAGTGAGGGTGGAGCCTAGGAACTTTGGCTAAAGATAAACCTTGCTATTGAGGAATTAGGGTGGGTTTAGAGTTTTGGAGCCAGCCCACTATTTAAGCTCAAGATTAGTTCAGACATCTAATGTTTAAACCGGTCTCATATTTTTTTAAAAAATATATGGACTTACATATTGATAATCCAAGAATCATCTACCACTCCAAAAGTACCATAATTTAGACATTCAATATGGGAAATTTGAGAATAGAAAATAATACAAAAAAGGTCAGGACTATTTTTTAATAGGATTGTATACAAATGTGATCATTTATCTTTATTACAAGGAAGTCATAATCCCTCCTACTTATTAAATGTCTAATTTGATGGTTCGAGTTGGTCATGAAATTCAAAATATTTTTTTTTAAGCTTTAACTATTTTCAACGAGACTCTTAAAACCATCTAATTTAAAATCTAAAGAACAAAATGATTGTGCTTTTATTGTACAAAAAGTAAATAGTCTCTTCATATATTTTATTTTTTTTTAATTTTTAAAAAAATAAAAAGTTTCTTTTGCCGTGAATAAAAAACTAAACTATGTTAATAATAATAACAATAATTATGAAATGATCTTACGAGAACCTTTCCAATAGTAATGATTTTATGAAACCCTCTCATATCTTTGTGTACGGGGGCTCGAAAGATCATTATTAAGTGTGAGACATATTTAAAAAAAAGTCAAATCCCACTTTACGTGATAATTTTTTTTTTGAGATTTGTATCAATTTTAATGATTGATCATTTAAAATCCTATATATATAAATGTGCGTGGGAAGGTGTCATCATTCATTTTAAAAATATCCTAAAAACATCGAAATCTAACGGTTCAATTGGTGGCAAGAGAAAACATGAGCCCAGCCCCCGAACGAGCCCTCAAACATAAGACCTACCGCTATCTAATATCGTCCGTGATTTCCCCGTGGACCCCACGTTGCTACGTCACTGTGGTACCACTGATGACGTGGACATCAAAGCTTACTGCTTAAAAGCCTTCGCTCACCCTAAATTACTAAAAGACCCTCGACAGACAAATATTCGTGCATTTTATGCCTGGAGTACGCGCAAACTCTCCACCCAATATGTTAAACAAAAATAAAAAACGCGACATCTTCAAACCAGTAATTACTTGAAGAAAGCTGATTTTTTTTGGTAGCACCCCTCTAATAATATCGTCCATACGTAAATTTCCCCTTTTTTATATAGCTAGGTGTTATTTGGGGGTTTTTTAGAAATAAATTTTTCACAATCTAAACGTAAAAAATCAAATTGGTCAACTGATTATAGTTCATAATCTCGATTCAAATTTTGTGATTAAATTTGATTGCCATACACGAGCCATTAAATCCTCTCCACGAGGATTATAAGTCTTTTTTTATTTGAACACAACTCCAAAATTTTGGTCATCTTTGAAAAAAAAAAAATGATTGTGTTTAATGCATCTCGTCTTTTCTAAAAAATATGCCTCTTTTTTCCGAAGCTAATGAAGTGGACTATGGGCCTTACATTTCGGAGTTATGAGGTTTATGGAGGACTTTTCATAAGTCGTTATCGAAAAATACTCCATAAATGTTATTGGTGCAAAGCCCCCATAAACAATACCACGGTAATTGACTCTGTTTCTGTTAATTTTTTCTAAAACTTCAATACCAGAGGAGGTTGCTTTCATTCATATCAATTGTTGAAAAAAATTGAGCACCAGTAGAAGTATAACACAAGTGATGTGATCAATGATGGCCATTCCATCCTCCCTCCATTCTATGCTCCCACCTTTTTTTTTTTTCTCCTTCTTCTTCTTCTTTTTTTTTTTTCTCTTCTTTTTCTTTTTGCTCTTTGTGCCTTTTTATTTACCCTCAATGAAAAGTTGGTTAACTTTTCAAAAAAAAGAAAGAAAAAGCCTCTTTGAATACTCTTAATTAATAAAAAAACTACTTATTTACCCTCAATGAAAAGCTGGTTATTTTTTTTAAAAAAGAAAATGCCTCTTTCAATATGTGCGGCTTGTATAGAGCTTAGGCTCTAAACAATCAAATTAGAGCCTACCTTCAAATAGTGACGAGAAAAGTTGTTTCAATATTGGAAATGTTTGTGATAGCCTTAAAATATATTTTCATCTTTGTTTATAAAGTTTAAAGCTTAAAAAATAGCGTAGACGAACAGATCTATGAAATCTTGAAAATCTTGAAAATTGACGGTCCAAAAATGTGTTATAAAATATACAATTTTTAAAATTTGAAATCCATTATTTTTTTGATGTCCATGAATCCAGATGTCGAGATGATCAATTGAGGATATTGCGCATCAAAACAGCCTCTTCTAATGACATTTTTAAGGTAAGCTCAAATTTGATTGTTTAGAGCCTACTCTTAATTAAAAAAAAAACTACTTCTCAATATTATTAGGACGCCATTTATATCTTATTCGAAAACTTTGGGGTGATTTAGTCATTTATTCCATGTGATCAATATTTTGGAGATTCAGGTCATTTCCAAAAATCTAGAGGGTATTTTAACCAACTATAGATTCGGGTGAAAAAAATTCTACGTCAGTTAAAAGAGGGAAGTTCTTTCCTCAAGTGCTTTCCAGTTTATTACAGTAATCAATAATAAAAAAATTACCATTTAGCAAGAGTATTTACGTTGTTTACCTAACTTCACCTACTTTGAATAAATTTTTAATGTCAAACATTACGAAAAACTGTGAAAAGAAAAAATAATTTGGTCGGTGATACAAAACCAAGTGATTGCGGTTAGAAAGAGAGGGGAGAGAGGAAAACCGTCTCTCTCTCTCTCTAGAAAATTAGGTAAAACTGTCTCTCTTTCTCTCTGGAGATCCGCGTCTAGAGTGAGAACACTCCCTTCCCCCCTTCTCTCTCTCTAGAAAATTATTGTTATAGATCAGTATTCCTGCTAGAGTGTGAACTCTACCCCTCCCTCACTTCTCTTTATCCGCGTCTAGAGTGAGAACACTCCCTTCCCCCCCTCTCTCTCTCTAGAAAATCATTGTTATAGATCAGTATTCCTGCTAGAGTGTGAACTCTCCCCCTCTCTCACTTCTCTTTATCCTTGTGTACCTGAAAATACGTCCATTTCTCGCGGGATTATTGCCGGGATGTGTCGTACGGACGTGCATTTTCCGGCGACCTGACGCCATTGTCAGCGAGATCGAACGTTTAGGGGGAAAAGGGGTCTTTGTACTCCCCTGCTCAGAGCGTCTTTTTTAGGATTAGTTTCAGACTTTGAGTTCCTTTTTAGCCAAGAAATTGTCAGGCCTTTTTAGATCCCCTGTGACCTTCTCCTTTTTTTGCCGCCATTGCCTTTATTCTCTCGCTGTTCATCACTTGGTGCTTCAGATCTCTGCTTTTAGGGCTTCGTTACTTTTGTTTAGTGCAATGGCAGCCTCTGTTATGGTTATTTCCTTAAAAGGTGAGCTTTTCTGTTAATTTTGAGTCCTCGTTTGTGTTTCCTCTTTCTGATTTGAGAATGCAGCCTTTTGGTTGGAATCTAGGGTTTGGTGTCGAGGAAAAAAGCTTACGTTCTGCTCCTGTTTCGTTCTCTGATGTAATATTCCCAGTCTAGCTATAAAATGTGGAAAAAAAATTAATTTTAATTCCTCTGTTCCATAGATGAACATTTTCTCCCCTCTTGTGCGGATTAGTTTTTGAGTGTTTGGCACTCTCCCTGTTGTGTCCTTGTATGCGCATCAGTTGCTCGAATCTAGGGTTTAGTGTTGTGCAAAACGCTAAATACTGCAGATGATTGTGATGTGTGATTCAACCTTCTGATTCATCCAGAAAAAGTTAGAGATTTCAAGATTTTCTTATAATTTCCACTTTACATTGTTGTGATTTCCACTTCACATTGTTGTGATCCCTAAATTGAAGCATTTTGGCTCGACCTTAGGGTTTAGGCTTTTAGAAAGTGTTACACGTTGCTTCTGGTTTTGATTTCACAAGATAACTTAAGATTTTTAACCTCTTTCTTCGCCAAATTCCATGCGATCCCCAAATGTCACTTTTCACTTAGTCGAATTTCAATATCTCTGTATTGGCTTGAATGTAAAGTCACTGTGGTTCAGATATCGATGTTAACTCGTTCTTGAATCTAGGGTTTACTGGTTGAGATGCAAAATTCTGACTAATTTTCCCTTGAAGGCATGTCCTTGATATGTGGATCTGGGGTTTAGTGCTTCGATTTATGCTTTGATGTTGTCTTGACATGTGTCTTTTTGTATTGATTTCTCGAGTTTTGAGATTAATTTGGTGGTTTTGCTTGTAGATGTAGGATTAGTTTTACTATTGCCTTTCTGCTCTATGCATTTTCCACTTTTTTTATTGGTAAAACAGAAATTAAGCGTGGGTAAATTAGAGAAAGAGCAAAGGTGATACTGGAAAGGCTAAGGAAACTAGTAATTGTAAAATCATGCCTTTTGAGGAGCTTTCCTTTATTCCACTTGGTGTTCCGTGACAGCTTTTTGCCAAAAAAGGAACCTTTTTGGATCTAGCGTTTGTTTGAGAATTTTTTTTGTTTGCAGTTATTTGAATAAGTTGATATTTTTTCAATGATCCTTGTGTAACCCTTGGCTGAAACCTAGATTTCTGTGAGGGAATTTGGTTATATCTTATAGTTTAAGATTTTTTCCTGCATACTATCTTGGAGATTTGATTAGAGTTTGACAGTATTTTTGTTTGGTATACTTTGAATTTGATGAGTTGGTTAAGTGAGTCATTTTTCCCTCAATTTCTTCGATTTTGTACGGTACCAGCTGTTCAGCTGTTATCTGTGTCATATAGTTTTTTCAACACATACTGTTTGGGTTAGGTGTTCTATTGTTGTTGTCATTTTTATTTGTTTATGTTGTTGAGTTTTGCTTGCACGTGTTGCCTCTTGTTTCAGAGTGCTGCTCAGAGCTTAGTTCCTGTTGGTTTAGTTAAATGACATTGCTCTGTTTCACGTTATTGGGGTGAGCTTCGATAATATTATTCATTTTGTATGTTTTTATCAGTTCTAGTATATATTGGTCAAAGACTGAAATGATATATTCCACTCTTAAGGTCATGGTTTAACTATTTCTTCCCTTACTATTGCATTGAAGCTCTTTTATTTTGAAATTTGAATATGTGTGATTTCCTTCTATGTTTTGCTTGGGTTTTTTTTCTTTGCTGATTCATTCAATTTGGTAACCTAGTGTTACAATTTTGTGACGAACTCGCATTTTGTTCATCATATTATACTTGGATTTTTGCAATGGATTAATTCAATTTGGTGGCTTAATGTTCTTTGGCTTTGAATCTAAATTCACGCATAGCTGATAATTGAAGTTTCTTTGTTGTATAGATCTGATGAATTGCAAATGAAGATGTCATCAGATTAAAATATTTTTGTCCTTGTGTACAAAGGTGAGATGTTCCTATGTAGAACTTACATTCTTTTGCATTTGTTTGGTGTACATGTTCTTTTTTTGGGAATTTTGTTCAATATCTTCACTGATACCTGGATGATGAATGTTTCAATTTCAGTTTTTAAAATGAATGAGCATCAGTATCAGAAGCAATGCAACACTGAGAAGCGATATCCAGGATGTATGGGAAGAATGGTGAATCTTTTGGACTTGAGTTCGGGCTTGAATGTAAATAGGATGCTTACTGATAAAGCGCAATTTAATGGTAATGTTGTGATCCTTTTGTGTTGGTTATAAAGTGAATGTTGTTTGTGGACATCTACATGAAAATTTAATTTGATAGATTTGCACATGGACACACCTGCCCAGCACACTTAGTTGCATCAAAATTTAATTTGATACACTTGCAAACACATATACCATAGTCCCTGATCTCCAGGATAATTTGTTTTGCCAAATCTGGACTGTCATATGAAATCTTGACAATCCTTTGTCCAGCTACAGCTAGGTCATGCTCTCTCTCTCTCTCTCTCTCTCTCTCTCTCTCTCTCTCACACACACACACACACACACACACACACACACACACACACACACACACAGATGGGCGTGGCGGCACAGATATGTCCCCCGACTCGACCCATTGTGAGTCATTCATGCAATATTTGTGCAATATCAAGAGGAATTAAGCTGTAGCTCTCATTGTGGCAATTGATATTTACAAGTGAACCACCTTGTTCTAATGGTTCTTTTACTTTTTCATTTTTAGTATCACCAAAATGGAAGAAATTTATTTGTTATGTTAGTGTTTCTAACTTTCTCCTCAATTATTCGTGTTGCATTTTAAAAACAAATTTATTCCTGTGATATTATTTGTGACGTGCGGAAAACTTTATAGTTTACAATTAGATTGACTCCATTTTATATCAATGAACATTGTCTTTTGAAGAATATATGAAGGCTTTAATTTGGACTCTATTTGTATCCTTTCTTGATGATAAACCTTCGAATCAACCTATGAAAAGTCTACATTAGTTGACAGCCTGTGTCCTTTATAGTTATTGAGATTCTTGGGACAAATAAAACAAATAAACAGAATGAAATGGGGTGGTTACGAGCTTAACATTCCAGGCATTTTATGTTTTGTTATTTATTTGAGTATTTTATGCCTGACCTTTCCAACAGTTGGCTACTTCTTGAAATCCTGTTAGTTCTTGAATTCTAGCTTACAAACTAAACTTGTTACATTGCAGGAAGTGCTCTTCCCAGAAGTCACCACGATGTGCCAATGAAGACACCACCACGGCACAATGCTTACACTGGAGAATATGTAGCACAGAAACCAGTACGCATCTCGGTTGTGGTGATCTTAGTTTTTTTTTTGCATATTTATATGCTGTAAGATATGCATTTTGTACAAAACTTGGGGGTTAAGAAATATTTACATGTTAAAGCAAATCTTTAATGAGTCACTCTCTTGAATGTTCTTGCCAAAATTTTTTCTTTTTTTACTCATTACAATTTACAGATTGACCATGAGCTAAGGAGGAGTTTTTCTGAGAAGAAAGGAAATGGAACACCCATGAAGATGCTTATAGCTCAAGAGATGTCCAAAGAATTTGACACTAAGCAGAAGCCTCCTAGTGTTGTAGCCCGGCTAATGGGTCTCGAAACCCTACCAGCACAGCAACCTATCTCTACTTGGCAAAGAAGTTCTCCTGAAGTTTCTCCATGGAACCCAACTGTAGGGCGACAAGATCGCCATCATTTACCAGTTCACTCAAATATGTACAGTCACTCAGGGACTACAAATACTTATATGCATTCGGGGGCAATTCAAAGGAACCAGCAGCAAGAAGTTGGGCTCGAAGTGGAGCATTTGCCCCACAAACGTTGTTCACCTGAGACCTACTTTCGAGGCCAAGAAGGATACAAAGATGTTTATGAGGTTTGGCAAAAGACTGAGAAGTTAGATGCAGTGAACTTGCAGAAGGATAGGTATGAGAAGAGCTTGGATGAGAAGATGGCTCTTGTGCGCCAGAAATTCATGGATGCAAAGCGGTTGGCAACTGATGAAAAGTTGCGCCAGTCAAAGGAGTTTCAGGATGCATTAGAGGTCCTAAGTTCAAACAAAGATTTGTTTCTCAAGTTCCTTCAAGAACCAAACTCCTTGTTTTCAAAACATATACTTGATCTCCAGTCAATCCCGCCCCCTCCTCAGTCGAGGCGCATCACTGTGCTCAGGCCATCAAAAAGCATGGCAGCATCAAATGGGTTAACAAAACTGTACAATGGCAGTGACAGATATGTTGATCAAGAGGTGAAGAGAGAGAAACAGGTGAAAAAGCAGGATCCCACTGGTTATATGTTGGGAAATTCCTATCACTGTGAAATGGATGGGATGGGTAAAGAATTCAAGAGAGAGAAAGTGGTGAAGAAGCCAGACCCCACAAATTGTTTCTTAGGAAATTCGCAAGAGGTAAGTGAGAAGAATCATGACTGGGATTTCTCTAAAGTTAGACTAGGAGCACCTTCTCAGCCAACTAGGATAGTGGTGCTAAAACCTAGTCCTGGCAAGACTCAAGACATAAGGGCATTAATTTCCTCCCCAAACCAAAATGAGAGGTTTTCAGGGTTGGGGCCTGATGGCACAAAAGGCTCTAGAGAGATTGCAAGGGAGATCACTAGGCAGATGACAGAGAATCTGACAAGTGATACCTCAAGGAGAGATGAATCTTTTTCATCCCCAATCATTTCAAGTACAGTGGGGAGAGATGATGTTTTCATGTCCTCAATGGTTTCGAATGGCTATGTTGGGGATGAGAGCTCATTCAACAGATCTGAGACCGAGTTTGCAGAGGGTGGAAGTATCAGTGATTCAGAGGTTTCAACCCCAACTTCTAGGAATTCATGGGATTATATCAACAAGTTTAGCCGTAGTTCTTCATCCTCTATTAGTAGAGCCTCATGCTCCCCTGAGTCGTCGGTAAGCAGGGAGGCCAAGAAGCGACTTTCTGCAAGATGGGCAATGATGGCTAATGGAGCTCAGGACCAAAGGCAACTGCGCAGGAGCTCGAGCACATTAGGGGAGATGCTTGCCCTTCCTGAATTAAAAAAACCAGAGAGATCCTCTGAGGAGAGAAGCAATGGAGTTCTAAGTCAATCAAGCAATTTGTCACCTAAAGGTGAAATACAAGAAGGCCTGAGCTCTTTTTCAGAAGGAAGAACCATTAATGAAATTAATGACTCTGCGCAAGTTTCTCCAAGAAGCCTGGCGAGGTCTAGGTCAGTTCCTGTTTCTTCTACTTCCTATGAAGCAATGGACCTGGTTGGTGGCAAGTCCAATACAAAGGATTCGGGGAAACCGAAGGGTGGGGGGTTTTTCATGGGGAAGGTTTCAAATTTCTTCTTCTCGAGGAGTAAGAAAGGTAGGAGAGAGAAACACAATTCTGTTGGGCTGGGCCCTTGGGAGTGTGGTGGCTCTTTGATTATCGATCTGGAGAGAGAAAACACTCATCCTGCTGAAGTAGAGGGAGATGCCTCACAATCGATGCCCCTAGCAGTTGGAGAAGAATGCCCAAACACTCCAATTTCCACTGCCTGTGATGAATGCTCCTCTCAGGTATGCGCATAATTCCCATATAATTTCCGGCTGTATTGTACTTGTGATGTATAGTGCTACCATATTATGTTTGCTCATGAGAATCTTTACCTTGATCATTACTGGCCTCTTGAATGTTCTCTTGCCCTATATGAAGTACCATACAATTGATGGGGATTCTCTTATTAAGACCCTACCAATCAATTCAAACCTCAGATTCATGTTAAAACCACAATGTTTCACTAGAGTCCCAAGAGACCAAAACATCGCTGAGTACGAAGTGTTTGATCATATTTATTCGAAGATATGGTGGCTAAAATGCTAGAGAAATACATATATAGGTCTAAATTTGGTGTAAATGAGTATTATACTGTGAAATAGTACATATTTCAAGATGATGGTACTGTGGTACATATTTGTGACTACAAAGAAATTTGCTTATTTGGACAAGTCTTGTGTATTTTACAGGCAGTTTCATCGCCTCCAAAACAACAAGTGGCACGTCTAGAGAACTTGAACGAGAATGGGGATCAACCCAGTCCTATCTCAGTACTAGAGTCGCCATTCGAAGATGAGGCTTCTCCCCTGCAAGAGAAGGAAAGGGTTGCTTTAGATATTAGTAAGTCTAAATCTCTGCATCAAAATGGGGATCTTTATCAGAGTTTTTTTTTTGCCTTTATGTGCAGGACCTCACCCTATTCTTCTATTTGACAGAGCCACGCATGCCATTCAACCTTCCAAAATCAGATGGAACCACTAGGCCTCTCGAGCAACCACGCACTGCCTCTCTCTCACTGCCCACTCTTGATGCCAGCCGATGGTTGCCATCGCCTTTGACTCCACACTTCTACTTCTGGGGTGAATCAGAACAAGAAGTATTCCTCTTTGTTGAGACCATTCTCAATGCCTCCGGTTTATTGGATGAGCCTGAATGCTCCATCTTTGGAAGATGGTATTCACCAAACTCACCTTTGGATCCAGTGCTTCTCGATAAATGCTTAGACAAAAATGGTTCGGTTTCAAGCAAAGGAGGAGAGAGAGAATGCTGCTCTAAACAAAATGATCCAGTTACATGCATTGAAGGAGAGAGGAAAAGTTGCTCGGACCAAAACGGCATGGTTATTTGTAAAGTGGAGAGGAGGGATGAGATGGAGAGGAAGCTCGTATTTGATTGCATAAATGCAGTCCTTGTGGAGATTACAGGGCCATGCTTGGATGCACACCCATGGGCCAGGCCGAGGAGGCAGGGGCCCGTGGGTCAGCAACTGGTGCAGGCAACATGGAACCTGCTTCGAGAGTGGGCTCATGGGGAGGGTCTGGAGAGAGATTTGAGTGGGTGGTTCGATTTAGGTCAGGAGATGGATTGGATTGGGACAGAGATAGAGAGGTGTGTTCTTGAGGATTTGATTGAAGATGCGCTTTGTGAGCTCTCATTATCTCTATCTTCCACAACCAAGTGAGGACTAAATGCCCATTTCCGTTCTCTCTCTCTCTCAGCGAATCTCGATCGTTGTATTTCTTGAAGGGATTTGAGCTGTTTTTTATGCATGGTCTAATGGAATAATAGCCATCCAAAAGAGACTTATGTATTGGAAATATGGAGAAGCATTCTTGTTGTCTTGTATGTGTATACAGATGAGGTTCCTAATCACAAGATTGCTACCTCTCAGTGAGCGTGTTATATTAGCCATGGAGATGTTAATTGGGTCTTTTTTTTCTTTTGTTCTTGTGACAAGTTGTGAATTTTCTAATTCTTTTTATAGATATGAATCTCCGCCTTCATTTTGTAGATATTGAATACGTCTTCTGTAATTTTTTTCTCATGATCCTGATGCTTTGCTTATTGAATGGATGCGTTCAAAAAATCTGAGCCGTTGGAGCTCTAGGACTGATCACTGATCTACTCTCTCTGTCATGCACCTTTGATAACTTCTTTCAGGCTCAAACTACGTCCATAGTTTATTTATACACTATATGAAATGAATAAATATAAAACAAAAATGGATAAATTCTCCTAAAAGACACATTTTAGCTGGACTGGTGGATGGTTATATCTTCTGCTTTCCATTTGCTTTGCATGGTTATATCTTCTGCTTTTCATTTGCTTTCCATTCGGTATGTACGAGGATACAATTTTATTTGTAGAAGTAAGGCTGCAGTGTTATACATTGTTTATTTTAGTTGAATGATGTAGATTTAATACGTCTTTTAAAACAATGTAAAAAAATAATATATAAATTAACTTGATGTTGAATGATCTTCTTGCATATTATTTTCAACTTTGTCTTGGACATTTTCAACTTTACATGGGTTGATTGGCAGTTTTTTAGGACTTTTAAATTTGCCGAAATCCTTTTTTCTTTTTCTCTTTTTAATAGGAAATTAACGATTAAAACTAATCTAAAAAAAAACAAAGTAATACTGCGTAAAGCTCAATTGATCACTTAAAAAGAACAAAATTAAACTATGATATATTAAATCAATACCACAAAATGATTCAGATTTACAATTGTGGGGAGAATTACAAGGACGCAAATAGATCTAAACCAAAGGAGAAAAAAAATTAAATAATTTATAAACTTGAAAATAGAATAAACTTAGCAAATCTATTATTTACAAAGAAGTGAGCCAAATACTGGTTGCATGGGTTCCATCAAACAGCATTTACCATTTACCACCAAGTATCCAGGTGTGTTTGAGAATAAACTATATATAGATATAAATATCCAAGAATTCCAGGTATGTTTGAGAATAAAATATATCTAGATATAAATATCCAGGAATTGTATATCACAGAAGATTTATATCCATGATTTGAAGCAAAACTAGTATTCAGATTTCCATGGAGCCAGAAGGGGAATAAATATTAACTAGAAGGTTGTAATTAGTGGACACTTGTGTCTAAAGTCAAGATAAATGGATGGAGTTAATATTAGTAATCAGGCTTGGGCTTTATTAATTAGCACTTAATGTTAGCAATATTGTGTCTCAAGTAACGAAGTTGGATTCTTACCACTGAACTGGCCAAAAAGTCAAGTTCGATTCTTACCGCTAAATTACCTAAAATAGAATACGTAACTTCGGGTACCGAGGCCGAAACACACCGAAGCGAATGCACTAGAGCTTCGTTTCACTCGATCTAAACTCTAGACCAAAAATATGGAAACTTTAGCCCCTTTTATGTTGTCGGACTCGCTTCGCCCCGGGCTCCAAAGAAAAGCGAATCTGATCAAGACAACTCGAGGGTGCGAGAGAAAAACAGAATCTCATTGGAGAGAGTACACGAGACTTCCACACCACAAGCGAGGAAGTGGGAGAGGGGTCCCCCATTGTCACCATGAATGACTTACGTCCAACAAGAAAGAGAGAGCCAAGGACAAAGCTGGGGGGTTTCCTCCCACTTTGAGAGAAAGAGAGAGGAGGAGAGAGAGGTGAAAATGATGGGACGTGCCACCACCCTAAGATTCGTAGGACCCACTTACACCCATCCACCCACTTGTAGAAAGTCTATTTGCAAGACCTTTTTTTTGAGAGAGATGCGTATATTGAGTAAAAATTATTAACAGTAATGACTTTATCATACTATTTTTACATCCAAATAACTATTAAAATTGATATAGATCTCTAAAAAAAATTATCATATAAATTTGAGATTTGATTTTTTTAAAAACACCAATCTCCCTCTTATTTTAATGGCCCATTTGGAAACCCTAGGGAAATATACCAACTACCCAATTGAATCAGGCCTATTCCTTCCTTTATTACTCCATAACTACTACCAAAAAATATGCCCTATTTATTCGTTCATTTACTGTACTATGTCTCCACGTCCCTCCACCTGCCCACCTCTCTCTCTCATACATTTCTTCAGTGGATTAAATGGAAATTAAAATACTTTATTGCTTCTTTTATTTCAAATGGAAGATCTCCATCTAAAAGTTGGTTGTAGTGTCTTTGTAGCTCTCTCTCTCTCTAGGCAGGTCTCTCCCTAGACTTTTTTTTCTTTTTCTTTTTGTGGGTGGGGTGTCCTTTTTAATGAAGTTAGTTATACTCTTCATTCGATTATTTAGTCTCTTTTCCTTCATTGATTTCAATTGCCATATCCGTGCAAATCTCTCTCTCTCCCTCATCATCACTTTGGGTAGCTCGCCTAGGGATTCGAGGTCCCAACACTTATTTCATTTATTAAAGAGTTTTGTCAATCTACTCCTCACAGGGTATTGCTCTAAGGGAAAATTATGTCCATATCGTTTTATTTTACTGTCACTAAGTGCTAGTCTAAAGTTCTTGTCTTCTATCGATTTGATGTTAAAAATATCGGACCGTTTTAAACTTTAGGAAAATAAAACCTAAATATAGTATGATATTATTAACACCTTAAACTTTCATAAAATAGGTCTAAACAAATGAAGTTTAAATGGGCAATTGATATTATCAAGCAATCCAAGGATTAAAGAATCGGAGCAAATTTGTTAAAGATTAAAATATTTTGACAAGCGTCTTTTTAAGTAAAAAAAAAATCTATATAAGGTTGCAACTTTAAAATGCAGAATTATGGATGCACCCCAAAAATTCATTGGAAAATATTATTTTAATGTTTCAAAACCCTCTAATTGAACATCTCAACATCGAAATGTATGAATATGAAAGAAAAACTAATTTTGAGTCTAGATCATCCATTTTTAAAATTTTCATATGTTTATAGATCTACTTGATTTTAA